TGGGGTTCTGATTCTAATGGCTATGGGGTTTCCAGTGTCCCTTGGCTCTGGGGTTCTGATTCTAATGGCTATGGGGTTTCCAGTGTCCCATGGCTATGGGGTTCTGATTCTAATGGCTATGGGGTTCTGATTCTAATGGCTATGGGGTTCTGATTCTAATGGCTATGGGGTTCTGATTCTAATGGCTCTGGGGTTCTGATTCTAATGGCTATGGGGTTCTGATTCTAACGGCTATGGGTTTTCCAGTGTCCCATGGCTATGGGGTTCTGATTCTAATGGCTCTGGGGTTCTGATTCTAATGGCTATGGGGTTCTGATTCTAATGGCTATGGGGTTCCCAGTGTCCCTTGGCTATGAGGTTCTGATTCTAATGGCTATGGGGTTCTGATTCTAATGGCTGTCGGGGTCATGGTGCCCCATGGTTATGGGGTTCTGGTTCTCTGTGCCTATGGGGTTCCCAATTCTCTGTGGCTATGGTGGTCCCAGCGCCCTATAGCTATGGGGCTCTGATTCTTTGCGGCAATGGGGGTCGTGGTGCCCCACAGCCATGGGGTCTCCTGTCAGGATGGAGGCCCAGCCGCTCCCCACAGAGCCCGGTGTGGGGAGGGACATGGGGCAAAGTGTCCCCAGTGCCGGGAGGTGACAATCTGTGATGGTGTCACCACGGTTCTGTGCTCAGGACCTGACCCTGAAGCTGTGCCTCATCCGGAGCATCGCCATGATCAGCCGGGCCGTCCGTGGCAGCACCAAATGCACTGACTTTGTTTTGGGTCGCAAAGCCGAACTCGTGGCGCAGATGGTGGTGAGAAACGGGTGCCAGGGTTGGGTGGTTGGGGGGGGGGGGGGGGGGGGGGGGGAGAGGGTCAGGATGGGGGGGGTGGGGAATGGGGTGGATGTGACATCCGCGTCCCCATCCCCATCCCCTTGGTCTGTGTTGCAGGAGTTCATCAAAGCAGAACCGCTGGACTCGATGCGGACACCGGTGCGGCAGTGGGCGATGGTCACCTGCACTCACCTGGTGTATCCTCTGTAGAGCCAAGGGATACGTGGGTTGGAAGGGTCCTGGAAGGTCATAGAGGCATGGGATGGTTGGGTTGGGTTGGATTGGGTTCAGAAGGCCCTGGAAGGTCATAGAGGCATGGGATGGTTGGGTTGGAGTGGGTTCA